GTTTTTAAGTCACACAAGATCTGATCAAGTTGAACATACAACAGATTAATCAGGTAATTTAAAAAAAATAATTTGAATGGCAATGCTACACAGGATATAACCAAAAACTGAAAACTTGAACACTTTATTCAGATGTTTCCTTCATTTATTTAAAATTCAAGTTGAAAAGTTAAGAGTAAATCTTATTCACTTAGTCATAAGACAACAGACATGATGAAATTAAGTGTAAATTAACATCACCGTTCAAGATACAGGTAATAATATCTAAATACATTGCCTAAAACACTAAATATGTAATATAAGTTACCAGGATCATATTAGGTATGATATTATCATACCTGTCAGATTGTGTTATCATGTATATAGTACTTATAAAGCTATGTGTTTATTGTAATTCATGCTAGGTTGAATGAAAAAAGCATAAAAATTCAACTTGTTTGAATGAAAGAAGTATTTCTAATTTCAAAGGTTAACTATTTTAATAAAATTAAGTTAAATATTTTTTACCTGGTTCATTTTGCTTGAAAAAGCTTTTAATTAAAAATCATTTCTGTTTAAAAAATGAAGATTTATTTTCTTTATTTTTGAAAAAAAGAAATTTTGAACTGTAAACAGAGTGTCATAACAATGCATTTTAACAGTAGTTATAGGATTTTAGTATAGTAGCCTTTACTTCAAACTGAAAATATACACATGAAAGAATTTCCTCTTTAAACAAGCATGTTTTATATAAAAACTGCAGTTGGATTTTCTTGCTTTGGAAAGTTTTCAGACTTACCTTGTATTCTTCTGTTGTCTGTGACAAAAGTTCAAGTTTACATTTTAAAACCTGGTAGTTTACATCAACAGGATGAGGCCCTGTGGTTGCAGAATCCTAAGAAAGAGATATTTTAATCAATTTTCAAATATCAAGTTATATTTTTTCTCAGTATCATTTTGTCAAATTATAAAAGCTATTTTATGTGTTCATGAGTGACAGGAAAGAATGATAAGATATTGTGTATCAAAATTCAAAAACTTACACTCATTGTTTCAATTAGAAATGAAAATCTTAACTGTTCTGTGGTATAATTTAAAAGATTCACTTGTATGGTTTTAATTACAGACTACAAAACTATATTATTAAAAACTTGTGTTTGAATTATTATTATCAATTTATATCATAAAGAATAAAGGAAATGTGCAATTAATTTTAATTTGAAGTTGCAATTGGCTTACAAAAAAATTTCTAATTCTTGATTTCTGAAAAAGTTTGTACTGTTGTATCACTTATTTTCTTAGAGTTATTTGTTTGTAATTATGCACAAAGCTACACAATGGGCTATCTGTGCTCTGCCAACCACGGGTATCGAAACCCTGTTTCTAGTGTTGTAAGTCTGCAGACATACCACTGTTCCACTGGGGGGGCTTTTAGAGTTAAGCAATTACTAAATATTTGTTTTATCACTTTCATAGTTATTCACTTATTACATACAAAGCAGTCAACTTCAATCATTATGAAACTATAAAAATTACTTTTATTAGATTTTGATTCTAGAATGTGGAATATAATTACTGAAATTGAACAACTCATTACACCTAACCTAAACATCAGGATATTAAAAAGGGTGTTTAAATGGATTAGAAATTCTATAATTTGATTCTAAGCACCATATTGATAAACAGCATAAAATGTAAAACAACAAAGTTGAAATGGGCAGCAATTTCCCAGTTAAGAGTGACACTTTAGGAAAAACTCTTCTGTCTTCAGGTCTTTCGAAATGCTTTTCTTTTCACCTGAGCTATTTTTGTAGGTTATTCCTCCAATACTTTCTCTTTGAGTGTCAGTCTGAACTAGGCAGTTACTGCTCATTTTGACTTTCTTCAGCATGAAGACTCTGCTTAAATTATCTATAAAAGTATAAAACCTAAAAAATTAAAACAAAACATCACTAATTCCTTATTATACTAAATCATTAAATAAAACGAGCTTTTATATATAAACAAAATAGTAACTATAAAGACCAAACAAAAAATAATTCAGAGTATGAGATGATGGTTTTATGGTAAATACAGGATGCTTAAGAGACAAATCCTTTACCACTTATAATATTAACAAATTCTACAATGCTGCTTCAAAAAGTACAAAAAAGTTGAATGACAATCTTTTCAGTTATCTCAGAATAATCAGAGCCCATCCTACCATCAATTGAAAATTGGTAATTTGTATTTGTCTCAAATCCATTTATAAACTGTATAATTAAAGATATTACAGAATCTGCACAAGCAAAGGATTAAACATATTATTTCTATGAATTGTTCTCAGTAAATGATAAAAAGTACACTTCATTTTGCCTAAAACTGCAATCTTTTATTACTTGACTGAAACAGTCAGCATTATTATTCTATAATATTTTTCATCTAAGTAACAAAGATATTACATATGTCACAAACCTGTTCTTAGAATTTAATGATCTCCACGAACCAGTTGTTAACAATCGTAT